ATGGCAATATCCAGGACTATAGGCACCTTTCTCAAGAAATGCTGTATTTGCTGGGACAAGGGAATCTGTCTGGTGATTCTCAGGTAAGGTCTGAATGCAAAACTGTGTGAGAAGGTGTCATCACAGGTGAGTGTCCCTGCTGCATAGGCTTTGAATCCCTCATTCTTGTCCCAGCTTGGCGCATGTCAGGCGGGTGGACTGCAGGCAGCCAGGGATCATGTTCACATTTACTGCATGCTTGTCTTACGGCAAAGGGGCTGCAGAGAGGGAGCACACCAGAACGGTCAGTCTTGTACTTCCTGTGTGATGCAAAAAAACGGCCAAAAGACCTGAGCTGACGCTGGGCTTTGCTCCAGTGCCCATGGGCCAGGTTGGGCCCCGCTGCCCGGGGTGCCTCTTCCCAGGCCTGGCTCTTCCACTTGTTCCTCTCCTCCCCTGGTGCCACCAGCATTGTCCTGGCCCTGTAGCCCTGCCCTGGCTCCTTGCTTACCAACAACCCTCTGAGCTGCTTGCCCATTTGGATCCATTTTGGTGAGATATTAGGGGCCAGGGCTCATTCCCAACTGTGAGCTGATTTCTAGGGGTGATTATTACCAAGCTCATGGACCGCAAAGCTGGCTCCCTCTCCTTGCAGACTCCTATCATACTGTCCCTGAGCTGAGAGGCTGACAAGGGGTGTGAAAAGCAGCTAGGATTTTGCACTCCAGCATGTACACAGGCACAGAATGTGAAAACATCCACCTCCTCTAATTATACACTGTTGCTTCCAGAACAGCTTTTCTAACTACTGGTGACATGACAATGACTGGGGGGTGTTTAAGCTTCCAAAATTCTCTAACTGCTGCTTTCACCTGCTGTACCCATTTCAAGCTCTCCCCCTTAAAGCAGCTGCAACAGAGCAGTGCTGGAAAGAAAGGGGAAGCTGAGAAAGGTAAAAGCCTCAGGAAACAAAAGCCATTCCCCAGAGGGAATCAACAAATTTCTGTTCCTCCATCTAGATACATTTAAATGTGTCTGCTACTTAATTGCATCTGTACCAGTCCCAGCCCTTCCCTGATAATGGTTGCTGAGGCTGCAGCATTGCTCTTGACTGGGAGGGCTGGGTCAGGGGAGCCAAGAGCCATGGAGGGGGCACCACCAAGAGAGGCTCCATCACCTCATGGTCTCTTCTGGCTCGACATCTGATGAGTATGGGAAACAAATATTATTATTTCCAGGAAGTGTGTCATTGAAGCATTGCTCTGCATTTATTCATACTGTCAGAAATAAGCCAGTGAAGAGCAGTGCTAGCTCTAAACAGAGAAAGATGTTGAGGAAATTGAGGTTTGCTTGCAGTATTTGGGGAGAGGAAGGAAAAATTCCCTGCAGCCATCCCTCCCTTATACCAACCTGTGTAACAGGGGTGTTGTAGCTGCACATCTGCAGCTGCAAACCAGACAGCATCCCTGTAAGGTCCTGTTCTTTCTGTTGACAGACAAGATAGTCCTGATCCACAAGTCTCAGATCCAGCGCTTTCCCATCACCATGCTCACAAATCCCTGGAACCCATCACAGCATCTCCAGCCTTTGAAGGAATTCCGTATTCTGCCTTCCAAACAGTATATTGCTGGGCTCTCTGCAGATGTAAAGGCATGATGCCACTTAAGAGAAATAACTTGCAATAAGATCAGCGTTAGTCAGAAATAAGAGCTGTGGTTGCCTGTGCAAACCAGGCAGTCATATTCTCTTTATTTTTTATATATATTTTTTTTGAGAACTGTAACCATGTTTACACAGAGGAATTTGTCAGGCTTTGTGGCTTTGTCTCCATCCATATGGAGAGGAATGTCTCCTTGCTCCTGTGGGTTTGGGATGCTACAGGCAGAACCTGGAGTGTCATTGAGTTCTGCACTGAGCTTGGGTGCCCCATGACACCACCCATCTCTGCACAGCAATCTCAACATAAAAGAGTCTGCATGTCTTATTGTGTGTCTGACCAAGCAGTAATATTTTCCAGTGTTTGTAGACAGAAATACTGCATACAAGGTATAGATGAGCAACTTCAGTGTTTTCAACAGTGAAGCTCAGATCTTTATATCCCCACACAAAAAGAAAGAAAATGTTGAAAATGGGAAATGCAGCCTTTTCCTTCCCAGCAAAAAGTGCACTCTGTCTCAAACTGTGAAACAAACAAAACCTAATTTCTGACTGTACAGTTTAGAAAAAATGAACAACTGAGAGGTCCCTCTCCTGGCATCATCTCTGCTCTGACCTACCTGGATAATGTAATAAATACTGAGCTTTCAGCACAGCTTTATTAAACATAAAGATATCAATGTAACTCCTTCATCCCCTTGCCAAGATTTCCAGCGGTTTGGCTCTCTGCAGGCCCAGGCGAACCTGGAAGTGAAGAAGTGAGGGGAAGGGCCAGTGCAGGTGGGGAAGCAGCCAGGGTGTGTGCCCCAAAGCCAGTGCCTGGATCTGTCCTCTGAGACCCCATGGATGGAGGTGCTGGCCCCCACAGTACCCCAGAAGCTCCACAGCATGTGGAAAGGATTCAGGGGAGACCGCAGCACATGAAAGAGCAAAATCCATTTGTCCCAGCTTGGCTGCCCCTGACAAGGCATGGATGGAATGGGGGATCAGGCCAGGCCTGGGGAGATACTGAGCTGTTTGCTCAAGAGTTGGTTGGTGCAACATTTCTTGTACCAGGGATCAGGCAAAGCCAAAAGCAAATATCTCTGTTCAGCATTTTCAGGAAGAACTGGAGACTTATTTTTTGCACGATTTGAAGGGGATTATTTTCCCGTGGTTGTAAACCAGGGTGAAAAGGTCATGGAGACCATGGGGTTATAGGTTGTTTTTCTCATTCCAGTTTCTTCCATACTGCATGAGCCTTTCTGCCATCCTGATGCAGAGTGGGTGGAAATTCAGTAACTGCTGTAATAGCAGCCACTTATGCAAAAAAAAAGACAAACCCAAAGCCAACCACAAAAAGACACCATCTAGATCTGTCTCTTAATTGCTTCATGTTTTCTAGGCGTAACTGCTTTAGTGCTATGACAAGTACATTTCCTTCTCACTGCTTACATATAGTCTCTGCTTTTGATACCGTGATCACCACAGGTTGTGAGGTGATTGTCTGGTGTGGACTCAGCTTTCACAGATTAAGTAAAGAACAATTCTGAACACCCAAAGGGAAATTCTCAATGTGGTGCTGCCTCCTGATCTCTGCAGAGCCACCAGGCTGCAGAGCTATTCCACAGGTAAGCTTTGAACATGGAATATTTCCTAATTAACCTCAAGGGCTGCCTCACCTCTCCCCCGCTGCCAGGCTTACAGCTGCTCCTGCTGTGATGGAGCTCACCTGGGAAAACTAAAGGGGTGACATGTCTTGAGTAGCACCAGTAGGTTGGTAAAGCAGTCTGGATTAGAGAGGGATACAGGTGGTCAGGGTTCTGGACCATCAAGGCTCACTGAAGCTTTACCAGGATAAGATGGAAACATTCGTCTTACAGAGAGGCAAATGCATCCCCCGTGGTGTTTCCTGGGGAACGTCCCTCAGGCTCTGTGATTCCCAGCCCAATCTCTGAATTCAGGTCTCCTCCCCATGGACACAGGAGCATGGAACTGCCCGCGCAGTCCTGCCCGGGGGCTGGCGGCAGCTCAGCCATCCTGCCTGCGGGGTAGCTTCAGCAGTCCTGCTCCCTTTGGCAGCCAGCAGCGGGCCAGTGAGGACGGTGGCTTTTCCAAGCCACCTGTGGCAGATGTTTCTGCGCTGTGGAGTGGTAAGACTCACACCGGGAAGCTGGGAGTGCTGGGGTGGATGGAGATGTTGTGTAAGGAGGAAAAGGTGGAGGAAGCCAGTGCTCAAAGAGCAGTTTGTTTAGAGGCATCTTGGTTTCATTCCTTCTTCCTTTCAGACATAAGTGGAGGTTGGGACTTCATGCTTTTAAACTGATCCCTAATGCTATGTTTGGATTTTCATTCTTCTCAAAGAATCTGCACTGCTACCCTGTGGCACACCTTGGCATGCAGTTCCTTGCTACCCAGCTTGGCAGTGTTCTCCTGCAAAGGCCTCCTCCCCTCAGCCTCTGGCCTGCCAGACTGTGTGTCCCTCAGCTTCCCAGAGAAGCGGGGACAGGCAGCAGCTGCCCCAGCACAGAGCCCTGCTGCCAGACCCACAGGCAGGAAGGCAGGGGCAGGATCTGGCCTCAGTGGAGGGCGGTGGGGCGGAGCAGGAGGCTGTGGCAGGCACCACCTGGAGGCACTGGCTTGAGGCACAGGGATTTTAAATGGTGAAAAGGGTGCGATACTGGGATCCTGGCTAGAGAAAAGAGTCATAGGGGAAAGCAGTTCTGAGAGGTTGATAGTTACCTCCTTCCACCATCCCAGTTTACTCCTGATTTTCATAGGAGCATATCACAATGTCACCCTCCCCTAATCACCTACTGCTCATACACTCCCTTTCAGACTGAAAACAAACAAGAAACTCACATAAGCTTGGCTTGGACGGCATCACTGTGCTGCCACGCTGCAGCAAGCTGATGGGTGGGGTGAAATTTTGAGCGTTGTGCCAGTTCCACTTCGATCTACAATTTACCTCAATCACCCACCCACCCCTACCATGAAAATGAATGCTGTAGTAAAATACAAATCAATCAAGTCCTCATTAGTAAATGAAACCTGTGAAATTTTAAAACACATTCTTGAAATAACTGTACTTGGTCTGCATATGAGTTATAATTATTTGTGGAATGAACTGTTTTGGTATCTAACCCCTAAGACAGCAAAAACCAGCCTGCTCATTCCATTAGCTGTGGCTATCCAAAACCACACCTTCCATTGCCACACTGACTGCAAAATCCCTTTCTTATGCCTGTCCTGGCAGAGCTGCTCTGGACTGCAGAGCCAGGAGCAGCCTCCTGCCCTACTCTGAAACCTCTCATGTTCATGGAAGGAAAAGTGTGTTGTAGGCTGGGGTCAACTGATTTGACAAGTGCAAAAAAACTTCTCCAATCCTTGAAATTTTTTTTTTATTGCTCAGAGGGACAGATAGGAGAGTTTGAAATGCCATGTGATTAAACAAAACATTTAAGAAACTTGAAAGACACTCATCACATGAACAACACATTGTAGCTGCATATTAATTTTTAAAAAGGAAAAACATTAAGTTGGAAATACAATCACAAGAGCTATTTCTTAAACAAATATAAAGCAATGGGAGAACAAAGCGCAATCAACATGTTTCAAGTGTTCATTGGACAGCAAGAATGAAAAAAATGAGTTCCTGGCACTTTTGTTTCCTAATAATTATTTCCTAAATCATGTAGAGTGCCTATGTTAGCTATATTAACATTTTAGATAAATGACCTGGAAAAATAAACCACAACAGAGTAGTGTGTGCACTGAAGAGAAAGAGGGGGATAAGCAACTGAACAGTTTTGACAGGACATTTTTAGATTAATTCAACATTTATTTGTAACAGGATTTGCCTTTAGTGGTAGTTTTTGCAAGGTCATTAAAGCTTTCACATGCCCTTCTGAGCAGCAGATAATTAAAGGCATATCTAAAGCAAACTCAAAGCATGATTTTTGCATGCAAAGGTTAGCAAAAGCACTGAGAACAGGGTACAGAGAGCCCACATGCTGAAACGTCTCCATTTCTACTGATACAGGGAGAAACTAAAAACTAAACGTCCGTGTCTGCAGATGGCACAATCACACTGTCATTTTGCATTCCCCGTTTATCCAGGTCTGGTTACTATAGTTATTCTGACTGAAGTTGGTCATAAATCACACCATCCTGGAGGAGGTATGTTTGTAGTGTGGTTCTTTTCCCCAGAATAACTTCATGACTATAACACATGAGAATTCACACAGAGAAAAACTTTGTGCCTGTTACCACTGACAGTGACGCACAGTACTATTGCTAGAAAGTGACAGTAAGAAAAGATCTGTACTAGGGTAATTCATTAGGGTCATACTTGCTCAATTATGGACCACAGCAACTCTCTACCTCCTTAAGTCACATCAGTCATTTTCAGTAAATATGGTCACATAAAAGAGATTGTATCTCCTCTTGTACACTGACATTTCAGTAGGGCTTGTAAGATCTGGAAAGTTTAGTTAGGTTTAGTTAAGCTATGCAAAGATACCAAACAATGAAATACACAGATGTCATGTGAGCCTAACTTTGCCTTGCAAAATTCCTGCTGCAGACCATTTTTCAGATGACTCCTTAGCTTAGTTTACAGTTTTGGCACTCAGTAGATCACTGAGAAGAAATATGATAGAAACCTCACAACTAATGAAGTCATATAGTCATGGTATTCAGTGGAAATTCAATTTTTGGCTGTTTTAACAGATCCGGAACCAAATGGACACCTTAATAACTACATTCACTATAAAGCCAACAGCCTTAATTTTATTTATAGTGGACATTTCACTCTCTTCGAAGTTTTGTATTCACACCTTTTTTTGAGGCAAAGTGTGCACCAACAAACTAAGAATTGTGCACATAAGTAGACAAAAGTAAGGAAAACATGACACGCTAAACTGCGTATTAATAAATGGACGTCCCGCTAAAAATCAACTCTACAGTTATCTACCCTGTTATAGCCTTACTGGCAAACACATTCTACCAGTTAATAGCAACTATATAGGCCTAGCAAACTACACAGGTTTTGCAACACCAAAAGCAAATGCATTAGAGCAATAGTGACCCTGAGATTTGTGTCCATGCTACTGTAAGTTTAATATCATGATATTAATCATGATATTAATGGTATCAACATAAGAACATGTTACTCTTTATGAAGCCAAGAAACACCGGAAATACAAAGCTGCTTCAACTCAGATAAGCATGTCTGCACCGCAAATCTGTGAGGTCCAACGAACCAGGTCCTCAGCCTCTGTTTTGGAATAAACATGCTAACCTCAACTTACATTTTTATGGGGGTTTTGCTGGTGAAAGTCCCTTGTTGAGTAATCTAAAGACAAGTAACAGCTAGAAAAACAGCAAACACTATTCATATTTAACCATTTATTGAAAAACGTAATTCTAAAAAGGAAACTTTTCAGAGATACAAATGGGAGGTAGACACCTCACCTTAAGGTGTTTTGAAGGCCATTCATAATCTCCCTTAACACTTAATAAGTGGCACTTGGATAATTATTAACTTGCTTAAATTCCAAAAATATGCTGACGGTAAAATGATTATGGCCTCTGTGCTATATCTAAAGATAATAAAGCCAGAAAATTAAGAGAGACAGAGGTACATGAACATATAGAGGCACCTGTAAGAACACTTCTGAAAAGATAAGAACGATTGCTTCTACTTCACTTGTGTGGAAACAGCACGGAAGAATTACTGTATTTTCTTGGTCATCTCGCATCAGATGACAGAAGATCAGGAACAAACCCCAAACACCTATAACCATCTCCTCTGCACTATTGTAACTAGCCTGTTCTTCTGCATCACTGTAACAGTACTGTATCTCAAACACAAGGAAACTCTGTTACGTGTCGTCCACACACAAGAAAAATAATTACAAAAAAGCATACAATACTATGACACAATAAAGAAAAGTCAAAATTTCAATTTTAAGTGTAAATAAGTGATCTTGAAAAAGTCCTATTGAAATATTAATTCAGAACAAATCCTGTCCTGTGTAAAACTGGAAATACATCTGCTAAACATTATCCCTCAAAATAAATTTTTGTTAAAAAATAAAAAAAAATTAAGGGATTTTCAGAAAACTTATGAGTTGGCCACCTCTCTTGCCAGCCAGAATGTTCAAATTATTGCCTCAAAGTGAACGGTCCATATCTCACTAAAAGCCATTAAATAGTTTTTATCTTATTCTAAGAATAACAACAGCAAGCTTACTGTCTTATTTTCATGTACCTTTCCTTTTAAAGGCCTATGGCTTAGTGTTCACAAATCTGAAAAATATTTGTAAATACACAAAAATAAAGTTTAATAGCACACAATATAAAAAATGATACATTTCAAAACAATTACATTATTATTACGGAAAAGTGCACTACAATTAATCTGCAGGTCAGAGTTTCTTTGATCTTGGACATAATTTCCACGATTAACTCCTCAATAAAGTTTTTCATCTCCTTAATTAAATGAGAAATCTTTCATCCACCAAGGTTTTGGATGCCAAATTCTTCTGTCCAAGTGTATTACGAATAAACCTAAATATCTAAGAACATTTTAGAAAAAATGTATTAACAAAGAAATACTTAAAACAGTATGTTTCAGTACTTAACATAAAATAGTAACTTCATATTTTCTTTAAATCATAAATAACATGAATGAATTAGGTGCTTAATGCTCTTTAGCATTTTGGAAACATTTTCCAACGTCTTTCTACCCTGAAATATCATATAATTATGTGTGATTAATTTTAACAGGTATCTGTGTTTTCTACTGAGTTACTTGTAGCCTCTTTATTCATGACAGGCATGTGAATAAAATTAATTGCTCACAAGCCTATTTGACAAATCCCCAAACTAAAAAACTATTTTATAAGCTCTCAGTATAATCTTTGGTCAACGCGTACTGCTAACTTACTGCTTTAATTATCTAGCTAACTCTATAAACTTCTATACTAACCCACATATAAAAAATATTACTTTGTTCTTAAATTTAAATTTAAATTTACCTCTTGTTCCAAATATGTTAGAACAGCTGCTAAAACAAAACTTTGAGAAGCCAGATCCACAACAGAGAAAAACAGGATATCAAAGATGAGCAATGTTGTCTCATTGCCATAATAGAGAACATCACTGAAAGAGTGTCCTTCATCTACAGAAAGAAAATAATTTTTGAGAAATTATTATTTCAGGGAAGTACAAATTTGTGGAGTTTATCAGCCCATGCTGAGAAAGCTGGTAAGAAAAAGGAAAATCAGAGCAAAAGCTAGTTATGGCATTCTATGGCATCATAAGAGCTAGTTATGCCATTCTATTTAAGCAAAATACAAACCTTTTCACTTATAAAATGGCTTAATACCAACAGAACACAATAGGGAAAGCTCATGTGCCACACACAACTTTATTCACTCCTGAAATCTCAATCAGATTGTTTAAAAAAAGCTGCTTTGAACAAGACCAGACGTAACTTCCTTGTCACTGAAATTTTTAGCAAGTGTTAACTCTGGTCCCAACACAACAAAATAATAAAAACGTATGCTTAAAGCCTTACTTAGGAGGAGTTTCAGAGCTTAACATTATCTTTGTTCATTGGTTAACAGTTTCCCAGAAAATGGGTCTTTTAAGCTTAAAATACCTTTTTCATAGCTGAAGTAGTCTAGACCACTTATCCACTTCATTTTATCAAAAAGCACCACTTTCAAAAGACAAAATAACATTTAAAATAAACTATTACATAAAATAGATTCTTTTCCCTCTTTCTACTTTTTCAGAAAAATGTCTAATGCAGCTTTTATAAGAAACAGCATATTTTCATTACAAATTGTTTATGTCCTACTGCCACCAAATCCTAATTTGTATCCAGACTTCTAGAAAACATGACAGTCTAAACCATCAAACAATTCATTTACATCAACGCTTACGATTATCAACTGTGAAACAATGGCAGTCAAAATACCAAACCTCTGTTGAATATTGCACAATTTGGAGACATCACATCATGTTTATACAGTTAATTCTAATTCAGACATTGCATACACGACAATATTTATGGCTAAGTAGACCTGGGGATTAGAACAGGATTTTGGAATGACTAATATTGAAAGAAGTGGAATCACAGACAGGCTGAAGAAAGTCCTAGTTACAGTTTTAAGGCAGATACTGGCTATCTGGCCACAATTATTCCTAAAGATAGCGCTTCACCATGACAGGGGAGGAGAGTCCATGCCTTTAATGAATTAGGTGTACCTTAGACATCTAGACTGGGTAAAAATGTCAGACTACAACCATGGCTAGTTGGAAAGTGTATGCTGCATTCCTGATTACATAGCAAGGTTTGAGATTCACATTAGGCTTCAGCTTTTGCAGCCCCCGAGTCATAGAGCAGGACAAGTTCTGCACAGCTCAATGATGTAATCTGCAGATTGCTGTTACAGAAGAATAATGACATATTTAGGATGTGCAATGGTCATCTGATAATATCTATGGATAGGATTATGGTTCTCATAAGGTTTAGTTTCATCTTAGAACAGTGAGGCTGGAGACCCAAGTAATTGAGGCACTCAAAATGATGGCTTGCATCATCTTGGATCACAAGTTAATGTTTAGTTTTCATGCAGGTGATGGCTATGTTTATGGTTAGGGGTGGAATCAGAGTCTGAACTATGGTTTTCAAAGATAATTTCTGATGTATTCTGTACAGCTCAGGGACTGAGGAAACAGCCTAAGTTCCCTGCCCATATTTCACTGCAGTGTGGATACTGGTCCCCAGACTACATTTGTTAATAGGAGGAGACCAGGATTCAGGGTTTCAAACCTTGGAAGTGGAGGACCTAACACTGGATGAGGATTCCAGTGATGCAGGTATTGGTCATCTGGCAGAAATGATGAATAGGTTAAGGTTTTAGAGCCTTGGTGTTTCACAGCATCAATCTTCTGATTTAGGAACCTAGGTTGAAGGTTGAGATGTGATTGAGAACTTTCACTATATCTATTCTTAACACATGTACTGGTCACTTGTAAATATTTATGGCTAAACCTCCATGGACCAGAATCAGAACTGGTGTCATTACTGTTTCTGCTGGAATACTCCTTTTTGCTATGGGTATCGGCAATGCTTAAAAAGCTTCAAACTAAAATAGTCAAGAATCCAAATTACTTAGTGGTGTCTGCAAAGGTGAGTGGTGTATTAACATCAAGTATTCCACTAAAACATCCTCACCGTGAACAACATCCTCTTCAAAGAAACTGACTTTCTGTACTCTTAGTTATTTCATTAAAAATTTGGTTCTATATAAAAAAAAAATCGGAGGGAGCTATTTAAATATTGTGAGTCTTCTTTCCATTTACAAAGTGGATATTGGATCTACATAGCAAGTCAAAGGAGCACTTCATAAACACATGCACGTCTCTACACAGTATCCTTTCAGTTGCCTAAAAGGAAAAACATTTCAGGTGAGTGACAAATTATAAATAGGATTTCTGTAACCTGAAGAACTTCTCCTAAATACCTCCCTCACAAGTGGTCATTTAATAACCACTCTTGCTGTAAAGTCCAGTTAGATTGTAAATCTTGGGAAACAAATCTCCACAGAAATCTGCATACTTATAAATATGGTACAAATAACAAGTTACAAATTTTTTACCATTGTAAAAGAGACTCTTCTCTATTGGTTCCATGAACTCCATGCCAAGAATTCGTTCAAGCAGCAATTTATCTTTAACAATATAATCCATTTCTTTATGAACCTGTAAGAAAAGGAAAAACAATACTTCTTGTTTTATGATTTCAAAGAAAAAGTACTTGTTACAAATACAAATAGCGGTCTATTCCAAGACAAAAATAAGTACATAATAAAAAAGGATTTGTCATTTTTAAGAGCAGGCTGCACTGTTAAACTTTTTTTTTTTTTTTTTTTGAATGAAGCACTGTTCCAGTTGCTATCAAGTCTTTAACAAGTCTTTAAGCACATACGCTTAAAGAGAAATTAGTCCTTCAAATTTATAATTTTATAATCTCTACTTACTATTATTATGTTTTCTTTAGTATAGTAATGTCAATATACATACGTGATCAATAAAAGAACTGAGAAATTTGTTCATGGTGTTGTATGCCCTTGTGCTTTGTTCAAAACTATTTGTAGATGAATCCAAAAGCCTTGCAGGACCACGTTTCTGAAATATAACATGACCATGACTTCAGCAGAAAAATTACATATTTTAAATAACATCTACAAAATACAAATATCTCACTTACTCTTGTTAGGTTTTCATGAATCCTGTCATAGTGCAGTCGCATTTTTCTTGAAATGGAAATCTGAAATGTCTGGCCATCTGTGTTCGGTAATAAACCTCTCTGACTACATAGATTTTCCTATACAATTAAACCAATTGTAAATTAAAATTATTAACGTGATTCATAGACCCCCAAAAGAAAAATATTTTAATTTCCTCTCTTTCATGTACACATAGTACTTAATATCTCTAAGTATTTGAATCCACTGCACTCTTAGTTCTATTATAGCAAGATTTTCTTAGGACATGAAATCCTGACCCCTGCTGTCACAAAGTCATACTCCTCTTTTTCATCTGTGTTCAGTTCATTACCTTCTAATATATCTTTTGATATTCACTCTGAAGCCCTTTCTTTTATGTTTATCATTTATTCTATACTTCTCCTGGGTTTTTTGTGCTTTGGATTCCTGACTTTTGCCATATGTTTTTCAGGTCACATTTAATAAATCTCAAAACCCCCAAGAAAATAGAAAATTCAACATTTCCATAGAGAAAAAACTGCTTTTTCCAAAATTATATTAGAATAAACAATTTGGAAAAACATACAGGAACAGACAAGTCAAAAATATTACTAAAAAGATTCCTCTACAGTTCAGTGTTTAAGATTTATTTTTCATGTGTTTATTTTTTTTTCTGTCCACTTATCATTGAAATAGCAATATCCTTCATCTAAGGTACTTTCTTCCTACTTGTCCCTACAAAGATGCAAGATGTCATGAAATTTAGTGTTTCAATCCTGTGTGAGACATTTTACATTTGCCTGATCTTGCAGCAAAGATACAATATACAACAAACTAGATAAAATACTTATTCAAAATAATTTCTGTAAAAAATAGGTTAGATCACCACAGGAGAAGAGATGGAACAAAATAATTTATTGGAAGAGTAGATGTTTCTTTATCAGGAGTTTTTCAGATTTGTCTCTTTATGAAAGCATTATGTTATGCATCTTTTTAAATGAAAAGCTTCAGTACGAAAAAGAAGGTTCTTAAATACACACAAAAAATTTTTAGAAAACCAGGAATTTTATATCTGTGAAATCTGAAGAAGTAATAGAGAAGAAGAGATATTGAAGAAGAAAGGTGAAGAGCTAGTTAAAAGAACTATTAAGTCATATATTTACACACCAACAGCTGGTATCTTTTAAGTATCATAACGATGCAATGTAATACACAAGAGAAGAGCCATAATGCAAATATGTGGGTTTTTTTAATAAAATAAATAATTAGAGCAGGTGTAAACTTTAATACTTTTACTTACTGCTTCTCTTTTTAGGTTCATATTCATTTCTTCCATATTGGTATCTGCATGTCCGTGCACAGAGCGACCATGAATATAATAACCAAAGCAGCTGTGTGACAAGAGAAACACTGAAATCTAAAAGAGATGGGGGAAGAGAATAATTCAATTAAACATTATGATTTTATTTTTGAACTTTTGAATTCACAGTGGAGATCAGCAAGACCAGCCCTTCTACAAATACAAAGTAGGCAGGTACCAAAATAAATATGGCAGAAAAATATTTAATAACTCTTTTACTGATTAGTTTTATCTATGTTTAACTAGAAATACACACCAGCTTGAAGTTTAGTTTATCAACAACAAGGATCACTACTTAATTCCACAGAGCCAAAAAAATTAAAGCAAAGTTATTAGCTTTTATTTTGATTCAAAAATGATTTCTGTGATACATCATACATATGCATGATCCCAGTTGAGCTCCTCTCCTAGGAGACTATTTAATAGAATTTCGTATGATACAATGCTTGTCTATCACATAAAACCCCAAATTAACTCTTTCTACGACCTATGCACTACATGGGTGTTTCACAAAGAGGAATAACCAAGGCTAGAAATTCTGATAAAATGAGTTAATCTCTATATTTTTAAAAAGTTCTGGACAAATGAGCTAATCCGACTGTTCTGACTGCACTTTTCTTTGGTTAAAAAGGAATTCCTACAGTACAAATTTTCAAGATCCATATTTAAACTAGAGAAATTGAAGTAGTTCAGATGTGAGCATGTGCATATTCATTAAAAAGGTGGTAACTGTCCAAGACGGACAACCATGAAGTTCAGCGGTTGAGGGACAACCAAAAGATAGGAGCAGAAACTAGATAAAAGCATATTAAATAAAACTAAGACAGCTGTGTCTGTAAGACAAAAGTACTAAAATACAAACCAGTAGACAGAACAGCAGCAAATGGTTCCACATCTAATTTCTGTAATAATTTCACAGAATCATGTAGGTTAGAAAAGACCTTGAAGATCATCTAGTCCAACCATTAACCTAACATCGACAGTTCCCAACTACACCATATACTTAAGTGCTACATCGATCCAACTCTTAAACACCTCCAGGGATGTGGACTCCACCACCTCTCCGGGCAGCCCATTTCAACGCCTAACAACCCGTTCTGTAAAGAAATACTTCCTAATATCCAGCCTAAACCTTCCCTGGTGCAACTTGAGGCCATTCATTCCCTCTTATCCTACTGATTGTTACTTGGTTAAAGAGACTCATCCCCAGCTCTCTGCAACATCCTTTCAGGTAGCTGTAGAGGGCGATGAGGTCTCCCCTCAGCCTCCTCTTCTCCAGACTAAACACCCCCAGTTCCCTCAGCTGCTCCTCGAACAACATGTGCTCTGCCTTCACCAGCTTCATTGCCCTTCTCTGGACACGCTCGAGTCATTCAATGTCCTTTTTGTAGTGAGGGGCCCAAAACTGAACACAGGAATCAAGGTGTGGCCTCACCAATTTGTTATTTTTAATTCTGTATAAGCATATGTAACCAATTTAACTTTAAAAAGCAACCTAAAATTCACAAATCTAGAACAACATATTGATACCTATGGTTCCAGAATCTTTTTCCAATTAAAGCTTAACTGAAATCTTCTTGAAGATTGCACCAATAAAGTGAGCTGAAAGAAACACTGACTTTGGCTGTTAGCTAGTAATCTCTGATTAAATTCAATGAATAAATATTATTTAATATTCTTAAAACTATCTTCTGTATTATTCTATTTAAAATGCTACTATACAAATGAGACAAAGAAATACTTACATTGCTCATGCAACACAAATCAACAAATTGGCTTATCTTATCTTCAACAAATCTTTCATAAAACACAGAAAAAAATATAATCTGAAATAAATCAACAAAATTTTCTTTTATTAGTTCATCAGATTTGACTTTATTAAGCAATTAACTTCACAATTTAACACCCACAAATTACAGACTTCTGTAGTGGCCACCATTGCACTGGACTCTATGAAATGGGATTGACATTCTTCCTCTAAGAATTAAAGTTGTAGCAATAACCTGCTTTTCATTTTGAACTTGGAGTTGTTTCACAGTTGTTTAAAACAAAACAAACATGGTGCATAAATTCACAGCTTTGAGAGGATTAAACTTCTGACTACAAAGTAAGATGTCTTATAGCTCAGAAGATTAATTTTGAGTTCTAAGGTGGTAACCATGTTAAAGCAGCTAAAAGTCTAGATCAAGCAAAACAGTTAAGAATATATCAAATGCTATGATACATAGTATGGATGACCTAGTAATATATTCTAGCTTCCAAGAACCAACCTGAAAATGATAATTCAGTATGTCATGCGTTTCACATACCTGTAAGAAGGCAATGGCTAGCCAGAGTGCAGCAGACACCCCAAATCTTAAAATACGGCTCCAAGGAGCTATGTAACTCTCACTGCTTCTTGTAAGACTGGAAGAAGAATCCATTAAAGCCAAGTTTGAAAATCCCACCACCTGAAGAGATAAGAAGGTCAATATAACAACATGAGGCAATGAATAGTATTAATTATGACCATTCATAGCAGGAAATAGAAGAAAAAACTAGGAAAAATGGATATGGTAATAGTAGCATGTTCACTATGATAGAACACAGTCGTGTGATCCAGAGTTATTACATTAACATAATTAAAAGCATAAACTGTTCATATACGTGTTGATATGTAAATTCAAAAACATACGCAGCTAAATCTCATGAAAAGTCAACATTGTTTTTTACTGAAAAACTCCAAAAGATTCTACTGTTAGACTGTATGGAGATATTATTTCTGTCAAATTTCATCTTTTTGGTCCTATATATTCCAGTGTTTAAATATTTTAAAAATCTGTTCACTACTGTAAGAAACTGATTTTTTTTTCTTTTTTATTGACTAGAAATATATTTCCCTCCACTGTTTTCATGGCTGAATCTACTTTAAACAAACAAGCTAGAAAAAGTTCCCAAATAAAAAAGGAGAAAAACACTATGCCTTGAAACAAGAGGGGAAAATTTGGTGAAAATCATTCAGAACTGAAGCTGCACCAGAAACATATTTGTGGTGGGTTGACCCCCACCACAGCAGGACAGGGAACAGGAAAACCAAAAGCAAGAAAAATTTGTGGATTAAGATAAAGATGGTTTAACGAGCAAAGGAAAGGGAAGAAGGTGGTGAATTAACTGCCTCCTACAAGTAGACTGATGCCCAGTCAGTCCCCAGAAAATCCCTCCTCCATTTTTATTCCTGAGCAAGATGGTATATGGTACGGAATACCCTTTGGTCAGTTGGGGCCTGCTGTCCTGGTTATGTTCTTCTCCCAGCTTCTTAGGCAGCCCCAGCCTCCTTGTTGGGGTCCCCAATGCTGTGCAAGGACTGTTCAGCAATAGCGAAAACACAGGTGTGTTATCAGCCCTGTTTTAGCCAGAAATCCAAAACAGAGCACCCTATGGGCTGCTATGAAGAAAACTATCTCCAAGCTCAGTTCTGCGGCCAGAGTGCTACCTGCACTAGCCTTGTAGCCAACAGTGCCACAGCAACCCAGTGCCAGTCAGAGGTTGCTGTGGTGCCAGACATGAGCCCTGAGGGGAGGAAGACTCCTTCTTCTACACTTTCCAACTTCCTCCAACTATTAATTTTCCTGGGCTGTTTTCTACTACCGTAGAGCCTGTCACCATAATTTATGAGAACTGAACAGTCACTTTATCAAAATTGCTAAGCCAGGAAGACAGGTTTTGAGCAATTCAGAAGTTTCCCCTTGTAACAAGCAGGTGATGGTCATATCTACCCCATGCATTATACTTCTAGGGAAACTATGTTCCAAACTTCAGCATGACGATGAAAATTATGAAGATTATCTGAGGTTTTCACACCAATTTTAGCCTATTTAGGTATTTTTCATTACTTCCTCCAGCACCAGTGGCAAGAAATGGATTCTCCAGTAGGAATTTCATAGCAGGAGTTGTAGAGCAAGATGTTAATCACTCTCTTCTAAGAGTAGCCTCTCCCTTTTAGTAATACCAGGAACCTACAAAGAGTAACCTGAAGAGATTGTTAATTTTAGGAATATGTGCTTGCTTTTCTCCCAATTCTTACTTGCAACATAGTACCTAAATTGGTCCTAGCCTGTATTTACCAACAGCAAAACTTATGTAATGAATGAAGAAAATTTGGGTTATTTTACTGTATTTAATTTAAATGAAAAATAGGAAACTTAAAAACAGAAATATAAAAATGAATAAAAGTATTTAAAATATGTAAAAGAACCTCACAAAACAACTATATGCTATGTGCTTTAAGAATAGTTCCTCAAATAAAAGTATTTACCAAACTACGGAACAAACAAATCAGAATGTTTTTGAAAGGCTAAGGCACAGTTTTTCACCTATCCTTAAACTGTAACTGAAGGCATACTGCCTTGTGTTATGCCATCAAAAAGAGAACTGGCACATTTAATTTCCTGCTTTATAAAAGGTCACTATAGCAAATTAGCAGGAAGCTCAGTTCAGATAAATATGAAACCAGAAATAAAGCTGTAGACTGTGGCAGGAGGGACCCAGTAGTCAAATAAAGAACTGAGTGTGTACACAGATTTATCAGTCTCTTAAGCCATTTATGGTAACTCATTACCTTGAAAAAACAAACAAATCTAACAAAAGTCAAAAGTCTCTGAGGTAATTAAGGGTTGGTTGTTTTTTGTGGTTTTTAAGTCTTCCTTAATGAAATATTGCAATGACCTATACATACATATACATTTAAAAAATGTATTAAAATAATAGGTTTACTGTGTTTTCAAGTGAACTTGAAGGTCATCCACTATTACCACAGAGAATGCAATAATTAAAAACCAGACCCTTATGTTACACTCTGGTTGTGAATCATAAAAAATTAGTAACATTAACAATAATAATTGTAGTAATAATACCTCCAGAAAAAAAAGAACTGCAAGCACTTGAAAGAGGGGATTTATCTTCCTCACTGTCTGAATTTCATTCCATTCATTTGCTATAAAATATGTCCTCCATATGCTCACAGGTGCAGCAGCACTTCTAATAACACCTTCACCTAAAAAGAATACATACAATAGCTCTGAAATTTAATACTTGAGAGTAATATCTGAATTTAACTAAAGATGTTTATAGAAACAAGCATAGTTTGAGTTACCTTCAACTGCTTTAAGAACTTTGCCCTTAGGTCTTTCCCAGTCAATAAAGAAAATATCTATAGTAAGTTGTGAAACCAGCAATTGTAAGAACTGCAGAGCCTAAGAAAGAAAAAGGAGAAATATATCAAGTAAGGACAGCAACAGAATATAAAGTCATTGCACATGTCATTCATTAAACACAAGAAATTTAATTGAGTATACTTGAGACTGCAACTTAGTTACCAACTTTTGATACATCTTTTTTTTTTAATTTAAAAGTTTGGAATAATGGTAAGTCATGTGATGATGTCCAAAATTATTAACGAAATACAGCAAAGTAAGAATTTTTTTTAAAAAAAATACTATTTTCATATAACATATTAACCTGTATTATGAATTCAAATTCAATACCCATCATTAATAAAATACTTGCATGTCCCATGAAGACAGAATACCACTCTCTGAATTCTACAAGCATGTCTGAACACAATTATTTTAGTATCTTTTTTTTTAATCAAGAACTAACAGCATTTATATTCTGCTTCAAAAGAGCACTTGCTTTCTTGATATGGTGTTATTTTATGTGGGTTTCTTTACATCTTTACCCTTGGAAGAATAACTTTCCATAGATCATCCTCCTTAGACATGTGTTTCACTATAAAGACTCCACAAAATAAATTTATATGGAAAAATGATTTAATTCTTAGAATAAAATAATTGTTTATATCTATATAATAATAAAATGAACTGTACAAGATGTTTAAAAACAAGCCTACTGAAAACATACAGAAGCATATGTTGAAATGTCTTTAATGCCAGAGGAAAAAAAAATTTACCTTTAAACTAAATGCACATGCTATGTATGTAACAAAATCTTCTTCTTGAGATGGAAGTGGTAAAAGGACGGAGACAAACTGCTGAGCCTATAATTGAGAAGTTACACTGAAATAGTACGGATGGCATACGTAACAACATACTGTGCTTAAGAGTGAATAATATTTTTCAGAAAAATATCAATATTTACTGTGCAATCATTCTGAATTTATAAAATATTTTAAGTGACTATTAAGCAGACTGCAAATATAGTGAATCCTAAGGAAAAGAAACAGGTGAACGCAAAAATTTAAGCACACAAACCAGAATATGATATAGAACTTGCCTCAACAGTCTGACCAGAAAGGCAAAAAAAAAAAAAAAAGAAAGAAAGAAAATGAATTTTTGTGTAAAAATATATGTAGTATATAATAGGCTTTCATAACTCCCAAATCTGGAAAAACACTTACCTTGAAGAACACAAGCCAATAAATGCCTGTGCCCACTGTGATGATAAAGAAAACGTTGGCAAGGTCTCCCGCATAAAACAGTAAGAACTTCAAAACTGTCTGCAATTATAAAAACACACTGTAGAGATCTGTAAAACTAATTAAGTAATGCATATGTACATTCATATAAAACATGCAGCTCACACTGCAGGATACTCTAGTACTGAAAAGCAGCCTCGAACAGAAGTTCTCTAGTACAGTCATATATTGATGGTATATTCAGTATCTGAAACTCCTACATGCTAGTCTTTGTTCAGAGAATAATTAATTTGAAAACTCAGTCTACTAAACTGATCAGAACAGCTCTGTAAATACCTTTATTTTTAGCAAAAGTATTTCCTAATTGACAACATCAGAATCAAAAAAAATACAAAAACCCTACTTCCTCAAGTGAGCCTAACTCCAGATCACAGTTCTATGCAGGTAGGCTAGAAATTATTTCAGTTGCCTTAAGAAACAGAATATCACAGAGAATAACAGCAAAATTCTCCTCAAAGACAAGAAGACGTGTTTCTTTTTAGGTTGCCAGCTGTTTATACCTGTAGGTCAATTATAGAGCTTCCCGTACGCCTCTTCCAGCCTGCAGTCTTAAGAAGGGACCATAACACTGCTAGCCCACCCAACACACCCAGCGTAATCTGAAGAGAAAGAAAAATATTGGCAGATTTTTTTTAAAAAACAAAAAATAGAAGTAAATCCTTATATTGACAAATTAAAGTGAAATATGACTTACGTCAGTCTGAATCTGAGCCTCTGACTGATTCATTTCATAACTGACTGAGAAGGAAACCTGAACATTAAGATACAAAAAGTAAATATGCATAGACATTCTGAAATACTACAACCATTATAAACTGGTAGTTTTCACACATTTAGTTGGTGGGAACTCCCACCTAGGGCTACTATATAAGTACAACGTGTATCTTATTTTACTGTATACTTCTGATGCGGTGTGCTACAGTGCCAGGCTTAGTACTAGCATGTGCTCTGTTACGCTTAGGGCAGATTTTACCAACAGTAATGCTGGAGATAGATATCCGCTATCTGCAAAGTTACTAGCTGTACCTAATTATAATCATTTCAAATGTGAATAATTTTTTTCATTCTGAAAGGAGACACCAAAGGTTTGATACTTTCCCTTTTATCAGTGTGGATTAAAAGTAACTTTAATGTAATGACACCAATATGCAAAATCATAAACTCTTACATAGCTCAGATATCAATTTTTTTTTTCCATCTTGAATGAAATAAAAATTGTCATGCAGCATCAAAAGTCCTCCCTCCAACTTAAATATTTATCTAAACTAAGACCTATTTTGCCTTTGATCTGAAAGATTTGTACAAGGAAGAAAAAACGCTGGTGTAGGTTTTATAACATTCTGGCCTGAGTCTTTGTCACTGTAAGGCTAAAGTTAACACAGGTATGATAACGAATAGTATTTTTAATTCAGTTTAAAAAAAAAGGACAACCCCCTCCCAAACCAATCCCTTCTCCCTCTTCACCTTGTCTTCCCAAAACATTTGTTCCTGTCAGAACTCATTCTATCACCCCACTTGGATTTAAGTCTAAATATGCTCAGTTACTAGAAACTCATTGTTTACAGAACTTGGAATGAAATTCAATGTATCTTTTTACTTGCATAAAAATTGTTAAATGCAACAAGACATCCAAAATTGACAACACCTAAGTACATCAGATGTAGATGTAAGGGTGAAATAGTACAAGAGAAAATAGAGGAACTGAGAACAATTGTTTCTGCCATGGCCATTTGAATGAATTATTTTCTAAAAATAGTGTTGTTTCTGTGGTTAAACGAAGACATAATTTAGGAAGAGAAGAATGTCTGACTATTTTTTTGATCTTTCTAATTCCCTGTCTCTTCTTTCCTTTCATGCAGCTAATATGGAATGCAAGGAATGATTCTAGCACCTGAAACTTCTAGCTAGTTATCTATCTGTACTGGAAGCCTGAACTGCTGATGGTTGATAAGAAAAAAATATTAATATTATAATTTTTTAAATAGCAGAATTATTATTTAACTATATTAAGCTCAACATTTTCAGTTTTTAAAGCAGTGTGATCTAAAAAACAAGGGACAGGAATAGGACATCTGAGCTGCTGTCCATCATGAGAGGCAAAAGGGCAAGTAGAAAATGCCCCTCCTGCATCTGCTACAGCAGAAGTAAGTGGCTTTCAGTAGCGAAAGATTCCCCCATCTGATCTCCAACCATTCTGGCTAGATTTTTGGATTATTTTACTTTAATTCTTAGAGATGTGCTGTAGAATAATACACAGCAGAAAAAACGCTAAAGGATGTTTTAGATATATTACCAGTATTTTAATTTAAAGTACAGGTGACTTGAAATGTCTGTGTCATAACAACCTTCTCTTAATGGATTGCTTTAAATAAAAATATTCAATTTCTTGCAAAAATTGCTGGTTTCAGAGCATTGCATGAAGAGTACTCTTCCTGTTATTTTCTCTATGTGTTTTATTTGAACTGTAGCATAATCTAGCATTATACAACCAACTGTAAAATTCTAAGTACTTCAAGTTAAGAAAAACTTTAAATAAATCAAAAATAGTTTGAACTGCTTTAAACGCTTTACATTTTAGTGAAAACTTGCAACTTCAAAACTGAGCAGAACCAGAAAGTGCTTATTAGATTTTTATACACCCCCCACCCTCCAAAAATGTTCACTCAAATGGAATTCCCACAGAACTAAAACTATGATTAACAAATCAGTTCAATTAAGATAGCACAAAGATCTCACCATCACAGTCTGGGTTTCAGGGTTTTGGACAAGCACATCTGTATAAGCAATAGTAATTAGAGGAGGGTAGATAGTTCCTCTCTGAGTATGGGATACCAGACGAATACTGCAAGAAACAGAGTATTATTTTTAACACAGAAAATGAATGAGTTGCTTGGAAAGTATGAATAGAAACTTGTACTAATAAGAAAAAACTAAATGAACAGAACATCCTGATCAATAAAATGAGAGTTTAAAACTCAATGACATGGCAATTCACATTTTAAAAGCAACTGGAGTGTACAAAAAAGTGTGTACACAAATATCTAAAAAAAGAAGCTGGGAAAGATGGTTTATTTGTAAGAAAATAGCTGAATCAGTCTTTACCTACTGCTCACATTATGAGAGCTGCAAGTGAAGCCAATTCCAAAAGTTAACTTTTCCCGAATCTTTACAGAAAGACCTTTTTAATGTGCATTTTTAGGTTTTGGCCTTATCCTTTTTTCAAAGCCAGGGGTGGGAGGGGATTCTCCTAAAATACATAAGATAATCCTTATTTTTCCAAATAATATGGTATGTAATTCTCAGCAAACTGAGTTAGTTCGTTAAATTAATCTTCAGGATGATTACTTGTATGGATCAGTACACAGTGCTACTCAGCAAACTTTTAAACTTATAAATTGTGAAGAAGAGCTGAAGGAAAAGGGAGATGCCAATTTTTAGACAGTCTTCTCAGAGGAAGACATTATATAAAGAAGGAGAAAAAAAAGAGGTTCTTTCAAAACATATTCCATCTGAGATTATCCATCAGTAATAACCCTAACAGGCAGTCTCACAATTTCAGTCAAATGACTACAAGCCTATTCTGGATTGTATAATATAATAGGCAACAGTCTTTAAAAACACTGCAAAAAATAATACTGAGTATGAAATAGCATCCCTATATAGTCAGCAACATACACATTGAAAAAGAATCAACAGAGGAGCTTTTAGGTCTTTCCAGATGACACCTGCTTCTAAGAGGTGACTGAATGTCTGCTAAGGTACATTATGCATACATAATCTGATCCATCCTACCTGGAAAATAATCACAGCAGTTTTAGCCCCCATAAATCCATGTTGTGTTTTCTCACTCACTCATCAGAACCACCTATAGAAACCGTTGCTATTTTCAAGTGTGCAATGGAAAAAGCAGCACAGGACATACTATAATCAACATAACAAACCAACTTTCTTTTAAAATAATAAAATGCAGACTGCAGAAAATTGGCTTTATTTGCTATGTATTATATATTACATGTAATTAATCACCTTATTGTTATTTTGCTAGCGATCCGAATTACTCTTGGTAGTTTTCTCAAGTCATTCTCCTTTCCACTTAGTGCATCCACCAAAAAAAATCGACGAGTCAAAAGCCAGTTGTTCATATTACTGCCTTTGAAAAAAACGACAGTCACTTAATATTTAAAAAGAATTAAATCTACTAGAAACAATACCTATAACCGTTTAATATATATAACTGTGTTCAGGATGTAGATTATTTTCAATTTAAACAAATACATAATGAAATTAGATTACTTTATTTGTTCATATTATTTATTGGGCTGGTGTATGCAACCAAAGCTTGCACTTAACACTATCTAACTTGTCCATGTAATAAACTATTGTAACTAATTTGCTAAATTAAGCAAGGTGGGTGCTGCAATAAACTATAACTAATTTGCTAGGTTGGGCAAGGCCGGTAGGTACACTTGAATGATCTGTAAATGTTAAACAATTAAATGTAAAGTGTGCCATTCAGATTGGAACAATGTAACCGTGTCTCAGAAACCCCACCTAGAGCTGATATGTAACTGCTGTTTGAAGAAAAGCGCCAAAAGGAAGAGATCATGAGGCTTTTAAAAGATCCAATAGGAGAAAAACGCGCCAGGAGACCAAGGCTTCAAGACTTTCAAAAGACCCCATAGGAGAAGGACGTGCACCCCAGCAACCCAAATGACCCAATGGAAAAGAGCAGGACAACTATCTGACGGGAGGAGATTGGTTAAAGACGATGGCATAAGAGTATAAAACAGAGTTGCTGCTCTCCATGCACCCAGCGCTGCTTTGCCTATTGCTTCCCACCCTAAATCGATTGAACCCAAATAAAAATATATAGTTTTATAAAAATTGGCTTTGTATGATTATAACAACCATAAAATAGTACATTCTTAAACCAGAAACAAGTTATGGTGTGTTGTGGTATCTCTAAAACCAACTCCATAGCAGTAATTAATCCAAATTACTTCTATCTAAAGTTACACGGATTATTTAAACTCACAGAAATGTTACTGACAGTCTTACCTTGATTAACAAACATTTCACTGTATTGAAGATTCAAGTTTAAAACTGGCACGGCCCAAAGATATTGTTGTCCATTGTCACCATTATATTCAAGGAATAGGTCATAAAAGATTGGATTAGCAAAATCTAATAAAATTTTGGAAACTGAAACTTTGCACTACAAGAAAAAAAAGTTAAAATAAAAAGGTCACTTTAGCCATTTAATGCTTTTATCAAGTTGTGGATTCTTCCCTTACAAAATTATCGTGGAATCAGTTTGACTTCTTCACAAAAGACAAAGCATTCCAGCTATTTGCAAGCAATTACAAAGTGCTAACGACTTTATACAAACCTCTTAGAAATTCGTGCAATTGACTAGAATGACTAATGTGGAGAATGAAGCTCTGCTCACATTTTTCAACAGATTAGGAAAAAATATCCTGGCAAATTTCACAGACATAAAATTTTACACAGCATAAACACTAAAGTCAAGAAACATCAATGCAGAAGTCATGGAGTACTGTGTTTGGTTCTGAGCTCACCAGCATGAGAGAGAAATGGAGCTACTTGATGTACAGGCCACTAAAATGAAGGGACTGGACCATCTCTCCTATAAGGAAAGGCTGAGGGAGCTGGGATTGTTAGCCTGGAGATGAGAAGGCTCAGGATCTTATCAATGTGTACAAGTATCTGGAGGAAGGCATACAAGACAGCCAGGCTCTTTTCAGTGGTGCCCAGTGACAGGAGGCAATGGGCACACACTGAAACAGGAAGCTCCCCCTGAGCATCAGGAAGCACATTTTCGCTATGAAGGTGACTAAACACTGGCTGAGGTTGCCCAGAGAGGTTGTAGAGTCTTGCTCACTGGAAATATTCAGAAGCTGTCTGAAGATGTCCTGGGCAACCTGCCGTAGGTGGCCCTGCTTGAGCAGGAGGTTGGACAAGATGACCTCCAGAAGTCCCTGCCATTCTGTGATTGTGTAAAGAAATTAAATGTGAAAGAAGGCAGCTTTTTGTATATGTGAACAACCATGCAGTCTTTAAATACTCATATAACGTCAACCATGTTTTTTCCAAAGCTGCAGTAAAAAAAAAGTGATGCATACAATCCATGAAAACAGTTACATTAAAAAATACTCAGGAAGTTAGTATTTATTGGTGTTTGTATTTAAACCCAGTAATATTTATATTTAACAACAGTGTTACTGATTGTTACTGATTTGTTACTAATTTGAGTTGATGATTTTTGGTGATTTTTATAAGGAATGATTAGGACTAAGCAATTAAATGGAATCTTACAGAAATACCCATTTTTATAAAAGATAGTGGTGTAATGTTTTAAGTAGTCATAGAGATGTTGTATTTAGTTTAAAGTAACCTTACAACCAGTTATGCTGCTAGATGAAGTACCCCATTGTTAGACTGTTTTGTAAGGATGATTTATTGCCCTGTAGACCAGGTGTTTTAAAAGTTGCATTGTGAAAGGGTCTCAAAGCATGTTAAAATTGCAATGTGAGCAAAAATCCTTGAGTCAAGGACATTGGAGGGTTTTATCTTTTTAGTCAGTAGTCCGTGGTGGTCGCAAAAGCAGCCCCCCATCTCATTGCATGACCGGAAAGAGGTGGGAATAAGAGAATGAGTTATGGGAATTACCATGAGAATTTGATTAATATGTATTACTGTAGCCTATATAATCAGCATGCTACACGAGTTAGGTGTGCATTGTTGGTGAGACGACTCCACTACACACTCAGTCATTAATAAAGGAGTGTCTGCTTCTCTGCATCACATTGGTGTCGATAAGTTCTTTTATCCCATTTTGGTGACAACAGGTTCTACAGACTCAATATATCAAAAAAAGAATAGCCATACTTGAATAGTTCAATGATCCTGAAATACTGAAATATGGATTCAACAACATTAAACAATATGGAAAAGTGAAAATATTTAACAAAGATTTGTTAAAATTATTTGGTAAATACTTTCATTTTCAAAGATTAAAGCTTTGACAGCTATTATGCTACAAGACTTTCACACTGCCCAAGTTTATATATTTTTATACTGCAATGCATAATGTGGGGAATCATTTTGAATGTAGATGAGTTAATAATGTTATTTGATACCTAATGATGCTGTGCACATTTTTATTTTATAAAAATAAAGATGTTATTTCTCCACCTGTCTGCCAAAGAGACCACCACCTCCCTGTTTAACACGTAAATGACAAAAATTAATGATGTTTATTGCTGGCAGAACCATATCTGTGGCTGACTGAATTTAGCACCCAAGTATATACAAGCTCAAGTGTTCTAGCTCCTTTCCCTTTCCTGGTGTTTAGCAAGGTGCAAAAACTCCAATATTTTTTTCCGTAGTTAAGACAGCTAAAGAATCTCTCCTCTGATGAGTCATTTGTTTGGTTAAAACTTGCCTTCAATCTCTTTACTGAATTCATTGAAATCAGAGCATACTTTAAAGAGTTAACAGACATGGCATGATTGCATGTGCCTTCTTTCCATATGAAACCTGGCCAGAGATGAAAACAGGAAAATTAGAAGTTATGACAGAAAGTATATGACTGTCAGAACTCAGGCATTGTGTGCTTCCACTGAGAAGTCAGCAACCTCACTAATACAAAAGGCAGTTCAATTTATTTTGATTATACTTTGTAATAAACAAGTTTTTGATGTATAAATATTCTTTAAAAATACATTTATATCACTCAATAATAAAGAAATTAAAATAAGCAACAGTTTCACAAGAAAGAAGTCCACATTGCAACTTATAGCTAAACTCCAGAGGTCCTACAATACGCACTGAACTACTGATGACCTATAAAGTAACTTAATTAAAAATCCAGAATAGCATCATCTCTTACTTACACTTTGTTGATAAGTTGTTCCAAATGTGTAAGCTGCATTCAATTTGGTTTGGGTATCGGGACAAAGCTGAACAAAACATAATTATAATTAGGTTACTTCAAAAGGCATAATTTTCTCACATTACATATTTACAGGTACCCCAAGCAGTTTATGTGTTCAAGGTTCTCACAAAAGATATTTTATTCTATTTTTTAAGAAGAGAGGGATTGAGTTTGAAGAGTAAACATGATTATTTATTTTACTAATACTGGTGTTCTTAAAATGATGTTTTAGCTTAGTCATACTGGCCTAGTATTTTTCATTTCCATCACTGAAGTTGAAATCTGTGGACAGCAGCATCCAACCAGGCAAGATAATCTTTCTGGGGACTGAATGTTCAATGCACTGTGCTGCCTCAAGCTTTATTAGCAGCTTCTGCTAAATCCAAGAATCCCAAGAGTAAAGAACTCCACATTCATATTTTGCCCCCCTTTCTCTTGAGCTAGCATTCTCACAGGATCAAAGTTACAAAGGCAAGTAACAGATTTTTTTTTTCCCCTTTTCAGTGTAACTGTTACATTTTCTGCAAAGAACAAATAATTCTAATCAGAACCCAGAAAAATGGACCAAATTCTAACTAAATGAGCATGGCACTTAGTGGAGGGTGTAGCCATTTTAGCAAAATGAAAATCTAGTCTAAATTTACATAAACCACACTTCTATTAGTGTGCAACTGAAATTCTGGGAATTGTTACAATTATGCATTAAGATTGCTTTAGCACTGTGATGTCTTACCAACATGCACACTCTATTCAATTAAAAGAAGCTGTGAGTGGAAAAGCTATTCCTTTCCCATTGATTTTGATAACTACCAAAAGCTCTGCATTTAGGAAATTAACGTCTCCCAGTAAACTTTAAAATCTATGTCAAAATATATCATTTTTTATGCACAGTAATTGGCTTAGCAACCTGTTTTCTCAGACACTAGTTTTCTTTCACAGTTTGAGAGGCAGATGTAAGACAGTTCATCCTGGGGCAATAACAAAAGAAATAGCAGTCACTATCTAAATCCTGAATGTCAGCTGTTCTTCTGTAGATACTGAGCATTTGAAGTGAAGTGCTCCATGAATAGCCTGGAAAAGGGGACAGACAATTCCCAATTGTTCTTGCTAGTTTTTCTATTGTTGCCTGCCTAGGGAACTGCTGAGTGCCTAGATCACCACTTGACTGCTAAACAAATTTTACTCTGTAATGTGCTTCACAGCTGCCAATTTCTGTTAATTGTTAGGCTAATTACTATTGCACTTTCTACTTGCTGCTTACTTGCGTTTTTCACACCCTATCTATAGAGCATGGTACTGCCGAAGTAGGTGTGTGTGTGCCACTGAAATCTGATGGTAGAATGTCCAAGGGTCTGTGAATCTTCTGGCCACTGTTGCCCATTTCTATTTAAAACCTCCAAGAGAGTTTTTAAAACTTTCTGTTATGAAAAAGCCAGGCAGATCCTGGGCAAAGTGTACATTTTTATATTTAAACCCAAAATAAATAAGCAAACAAAAAAATCCCAAGAGAACCAAAAGAAAATGGGGTGGTAGCTCAGTTTTCCTACCTCTCTTGGCAACGACATAACCACTGATTTGCTTAGGTGTGAAAACAGGTGACAGCATCTAATAGGGACATACTCATAGAATCATCTGTAATTGTATGTGGGCTGAGAGCTAAAGAATATGCTTTTCTTGACAAGAAAAAGAGGGCTAATAATAAATTACGTACATGGGTAACTGCATGCTGAATGGAAGAAAGAGATGGTTGGTTCCAAATGACTGGTGCTGTTTCTGAGAAATTTCAAAAATCCCGAATTTATATTGGTCCAATGGATGAAGGCAATGTTGCTGAATTTATACTTCTGATTTTGTAGAGATCATCTCGAGCAAGAATCAAGAGCTATGTTTCCCCTAATCTAGTTCTATAGTTATCTTGTGAACTGTCACTAGTATAGTAACCAAACTCCTGACTTTTGTTTTGATTTGGCTAAAGGCAATCAGAATGTTATAATATCAACAAAAGATAACTAAAATCAAAGATACCTGTAAGATGCCTCCTTCCAAGCTTTGCCATTTAAGGAAGTTTCCTGCTGCATCAAATGAGGCTGCAATAAATTGCAGCTTTACATCCTGATGATGAAAAAAGATAAAGAAACAATGAAACTGCCACGAACATACACATTTTAGGGACTGCTGTCTCATCATTTGATGCTTCCCTAAAACTTCATTTTTCCCCCTTTGATTTTATGTTTTTAATCTTGGGTTTGGTAGTTTACTTTTTTTTTAAAAAGCATACATTACTATTCTTCTACAGCTTCACTGGTGATGTGAAAAAAGTTCCAAATACTTCTATACAGGTAGACATGCCCTAAACTAATCAGAAATCTATGTAGATTTCTAATGTATACCAGGCTAGGATCTTGAGGGCTTCAAGGACCTTCAGCGTTAGGAAAAATAGTATTTTAGTTGTCAAAACAACTGCTGCATTGCAACGTTGTTTAATTTAAAACATGGAATTTTAGAATATGGCTGAAAAAAACTATTATTTTAGAGTCAGTAAGAAAACAAGATAAATTTAGCAGCATAACTGACAAACAGGTTATCACTAGCACTACTTACTTTCTGTGATTAGTGTAACTTGAATAAGCTATTACAATTTTACAATTTACAATGAATCTGTAAAATAACACACTTTACTGTTCGATCTACTGTTTGATTCCTTATTGAAACTGTGCTTGCCAGTCAACAAACTACTTAAGCAGTCCATCCCTTCCAGGATGGTTTTGTTAACACTTGAAATGATTGGTTTTCCTCATCTCTTTTTTTTTTTTCCCCTAATTCACTGTAGGAAAAGGAAAAGGCTGCAGAAATAGATCAAATCCATCTATGATACAACTCAGCTTGTAGAGATTTGTAACAGAAATATTAAGGTTGATATAAATGAAGTAGGGATAGAAATGCAAGTGTAAGCATCAGAAACAACAAAAATAAAGGGTTAAACATCATATAGCAATAATGAAGAACATTGTTCCTAGCAGTAAAGCTAGAGAAATGGGTTGTGATAAATCCACAGCACAGACAACTTGTCAGCAAAAGACCCTGCACTGTACCAGGATAATAGCAGCCAAGTTACAGCACATCACATATAGCCCTCTTTTTCCAATGAGCTCACCAGGAAAACTGACAAAAGGATGCATATATTTCAAACAAAGGAAAAAGACGAAGACCAATTTTGCCTCAGATTTACAGACATTAAAGTAAACAAGATTCTGAAGCAAAGGAGAGTGCTAAAAAACCTAGTAACTCCTGAGGGGTATAAAAGATTTGTCTAATTACTAGTTCATTGCTGCCAACCCAGAAGAACCTTGGGGACACAATAAGGACTTAATAGCTGGCATCCCTTATTCCTTGTGTCACACACAATTGATCCTGGTCAGACCACCCAGGCAAGCACATCTTTGCTTTATGGGAATGTAGGTATGAGAGTGTGAGGAAAACAAATGCGTGAGTGAGTGAATGTAAGTCAGTAAAATCATCTTACATTGAGATTTTTTACGTAAATACTGCCTTCCTCTTCTGCAAGATCTCACACTGAGTTTTGTTACACTGTGTAAAAATTATCTTTAGTAGAGCCACATCTGTAATAAATCTAATCCTCTTTATGTGATGATGTCCTCTTCCTAATGTCTGCTTCCCCATGTCTACTACCCAACACCTACCTTATCTGTTCCTTTAAAACTGAAGATTGTAGGGAAATGATTTGCCTCAAGCACTTGGGATGCTAATCCTGGTTGATCACCGTAATATAGCCATGGAAGATTATGCCGCCTGAAAAATTATAACGTTTTGTCTAAAGAAACAATGTTCTTAACCAAAGAACATTTAGAATAACAATTTCAATAAAACATTATTAAAGACCGAAAGTTATGGAAATGGCAACTTACCAGAAGGCTATCGAATGAACGATGCCTAGCCTTGCTGTATTGACATAAATATACTGAAATAAACCACAGGCATCAGTAACCGAAGAACTCAATGAGTTCATATTCATCACACACATATTTCCAAGAGCTTGGCATGCTGTTAGATTAGAGTACAACTGCAGTGGAGAAACACAAGAACACAGAAAACTATTTATTTACCCCTCCTTTTGGTGAGGCAGTCATAAAATTTATGTTACCTTTAATAAGCCACTCCTAAACTGTCATTTTTACTTGAAAGTAATTTTATTTTGTCAACACCTAATATTTTCTCCCAGCTATTCAGGTTCCATATTTTTATAGGTCTGCAGATGGCAGCATGAAATCAATCCTCTTAGTTTTACAGTTTATTTTAGTTGCATCAGCTAGATGGTATGATGTGACAGAAATGTCAAAATCTGCATTTAGAAAACGAAGTAAGAATCAAAATGTTTAACACCACTTAGGCGGTATGACAGAGATGACTCCATCAAAGACCTAAGACTGACAACTACAGTTGCATGTATTGCAAATATCTTCTTTTCAGTTTTAGTACTTTTTCTATTCTGCTGTTCCTAAGCTATGTTGTGTTTATACCATTGTTCAATTTTTGTAAGCAAACCATTGCCATGATAGGCAAAAGCGGTGCCTGGCTTCTGTTCGCAGCCATCACTGCACTACTATTAACTTGCCACCACCTATTGCTTTTGTGCAGGTCAGATTGGCAGCTGCACGTTACACTCAGGCAGCACCTCTGAAGAGCTGAGCAGGCTGAGGCAGACAAACAGGATAAATTTAGGTAAGTGATGAGGACAGTCTCACTTCGTAAAAAAGAATGGGATAAATAGGACAATACATCTCAGAGCTGTGTGTATGAGATGGTAATGGGAGCAGCCACAAAAGTGATTGGGGAAAATACTGAGCAGAAGTCTGCTGAAATACTGAGAGAGAGAATGCCTGCCAGCCTGGGAATCAGGCCTGGGAATCAGAAACATCCTTGAGAAGTGCAGCTGGGTACCTAAACATCAGAGACATTTTGAGATGTCACCAATAAACACAAAACCACAGAACTGTAACAGCTGCTTATCATCTGGAAAAGTGAAAAATAGTCTGGAAAAAAGGAAAAAAAATTCTAAAAAACTAGCAATTGGCAACTGCTATTGGCTGTTCTAGCTGGAAGAGTAGAAAAACAGTCTGGAAAAATAACTGGTTTGAGAGAATATACAATATCATCATCTATTGGCTGCTCCAGGTGGTGCTGTCCGATGCTGCCTTATGTCTCTGTGATATAGAAATTACTTACTTATACCCAAAATGAAGAGTGAATCTGTCCCTGTCAGTCTGTCTGTCTGTCTCTCTCTCTCTCACACACACACACAGAACTTCCCCTGCACCATTTCTATGAGCATTCCTAGGCAAGTTATGGCCTAGGACTACTGCTGGGGACAGCTGGCTGACTCCAGACTCGTGATGTGGGTCATCTTCGAAGTGAGACTTCATCTGTCATCAATTTCAAGGCTCCACTCCTGGGAGTGGTTTGATGAGCACTGCACTGGCACTATTTTGAATAATATATATACATAGGTGTGGATATAGGTAATTGATGATAAGTGTATTTGCTGCTTTACTAGTGATAATTTTGTAGTAACATGTAATATTGAAATATATGCTTGCTGCTACTATTGATTGCTGCTTCCATTGGAATACATATATAGTTGCTGATTAATCATAAGTATACTTACTTTACTAATAGTAATTTGTAGTAATCTGTAATAAAGAAATGTAGGAAACAAAGACTCCATGTGCTTGTGTATTAAGGAATTCTGCAAATCCACTGTTGTGATCTTTATACACCTTGTAGGCCAGGTAACTCTTTGGATTGTGACAGATTGGGAGAAAAAATAGGGCCTGAGAAGTTAAAATCTGATTCTGAGGAGAGTAATATGGACAGAAAATGAGGATGTGTGATAATTGGTAAAAAGGAGGCAGGGGCATACCCCCTTCACAAGTGTGCATGATTCTGTTGCTGCAGCCACTCTTCCACCCATGACTACTGCCCCCTGGAGTAACATATAGGTAAATAACACTTGCATACATAAAGGAAAGCAAAGCTAAAAAGGATGGTTCTACTATTATCCTTCTCCATCACAAATCAAATTGAGTAACTGAAAAATTACAAGTTCCATGCTTTTACACAGAGTATCACTTCTGTATAGAAAAGCAAACTGCAAACATTAATGAAACTCACCCAACAGGCAGAGGCTGAGGACTGCAGGTTTTTCAGAAACCATACTGATGTCAGTGTTATACCCTGTAAATAAGGAACTACTTCACTGTCTTTGTTCAGAACAATTTATCCATAACGTAAGAGTCTGGAAAACTGTCAGCTAAAAGATGCTATTTTTTTTTTCCTAAGAGCTTTCTGTCCTTTGTAAATGTCTCAGTCAAATCAGCTCAGTTCAAAACACAACCATAAGGCAATAATATCCTTTCACTTCACTAAATTTGACAAAATATAGAGAACGAGCAGAAATATTTAAGTCTGGTATATGGATTCTGTGACAAGGTAGTTTTCTTGACTGTAAAAAGGAAATACTAAGGATTTCAAGGGTAAGGTGTTGACTGGGTTGTAAATTTAACTCGACTGAATTTGCTAAATTAATTATTTCACAACTGCTTTTTATAACAACTCATACTTGAACAGAGCTTTCATACATACTGTAAGCAACTGAAAAGGCATGTTTTCAATAAAATATTATTTAGAATATGACATTTTCAGAAAGCAAGGCCGATATTTGCTGTCAGGAAAACTGAAGACTGCGTTTTGCTTTGTTTCAAGCAGTGGCCTTTAACATTAACTCAGTTACGAACAAAATACATCTATTAGCCACATAGCATTTCTTGAATTCAGAACTACTTGGAAAATGGTCCTAACTTCAAGAAGAGTTCACTGATGTATGAAATGTTAAGAAATTTAGCACATAACTAGTAAGATGGTTAGTAGTAGTAGGCCTGAGTTGTCTGTTTAAGCTAAGGAGTTTCTGAGCTGTGGGAACAAAGAAAGAAACTCACATAAACATAGACAGAGGTCCCAAGGACAGAAGATATGGAATCATGGTGACAGAATATAATGTAAATTTTATGACCCAAAGGAGTAGGCCCAGGCCCTGGCAACAGAAGATAATGGACATCACACTTCAGATAAAGTGGGCAATGAAGGATTTAGTCAGAGGGGTCTGGCTTTTAGGGGTTGACAGTGTCGAAATTGGGGAAGAGGTGACTAGGAAGACTGCTGGCCTTCCTCTTGAAGACCCCTGAAGACCCCCACCAGGAGGCCATGTGCAGGCGCAAGACTGACATAATTGCTTTAAAACTGCTGATAAAGTTTTTTGGACTAACCACACCTTAATAGTAAATATGTATGTTCGTGTTGTGCAATTCTATGAATATGTATAAGGTACCTGCATTTAAGTGGTAAATCTAAGGGGGCTTGGTGTGCATGCTTGTGGAGGAGCGATCCTCCGTGCACCCAGCACTGCAATAAAGAATGCCTGCTTTCTAAAGCTCTGATTCTGAGTCTTAGAGAGTTTTTCTTCAACCGGCTTTTCGGTATCATCACAACTTACGAAAGTTCATTAGCTAAAACATTTAAAATACCTTAATTCTTCTCAATAGAACATATTTTCATTCATTAGCCAATTCAAGGAGTTCAACAATTTCATACACGATCTCAAATTGCATAGGTGTCCATTTTCTTCTATCAGCAATAACTGTCTGACAATTAAAAATGTCCTTTCAATCCTTATATCTTCTTTCAAATATTTTATATAAATATCAAACACATATTAAAAAAAAAAGGAAAGAAAAAGCCCAGAGGCCCTCATAGACTTCTCAGAATGTCTTTGTGATACAAGAATGTGTTAGTGTGTTTTAAATACATATAATTAATACAACAGACCACGTGCTACTTATTTTGATACTTAATCCATGTAAATTACTTCCTTTCTTCAGCTTCCAAGAGGGCATGAATTTTCTTAAACATATTCCATTACAACAATGTTTGTCTGGTCTCCATGTCTACAGTCTATCTTGATACATATCACCTTGTAATCACTGTGATCAGACAACAAACCACCACCTTTGTTTTTTAGGAATGGAATTTAGAAGACTTAAGTAAACTAAATAATGAGATAGCATGAGAAGGTTTTAGAATAAACACTTACCAGCTGCCCAAAACGAACAGTTGCAACTCCCTTTGGAGGTAAACTTTCACCGGCACTGAAACACAATCCCCCAGTCTGAGTCAAAAAAAAAAAAAAAGACATTTATACACTTATCAACATATCTTTTCCTGAGCTTCAACAGAATAAGCATTCTTGTACTTGCTTGTAAGTACTCTTGTACTTACTAAAATGTTTGGGCTGCTGCAGTCACAAGACTTGCTTACATTGATGAATGTTTGTTCACACCTTACACACCTATGGATCACAAACATGAAGAATTCACTTAAAATGTAGTTAAATATGAGATTTAGTATTTAGCAAAAGCCAATTTCATACTATGCTCAAGAACACTATCAGCATCTACACTAGCTTGAACTGAAAATACATTACCAATTTGTTTCTATTGTCAGTGAAGTAGAAAATAAATGAAACGGTTAATTATCAAAATAACAATTCTGTTTCTGCTTCCAATCCAAAACTGGCTTTTCAGTCACACTAAAGTAAAACTAAGAAAAAAACTAAGCCGCTGGTCATATAAGGACTTCAGTGAACACAAAACATGGGGTTGAGGATTTCCAATTCACTGCTTTTAAAACTGTCAAGCCAAAATACCCAACAGACACGTTCAAATTTATCATCACAAAAGGCGAAACACTCACCTATTTCCTGACGCATCTGAAGCAGAGAACGATTGCTCACTTTCATTGCAATGTATGCACAATGCTTCATTAAGCAAGATGCCATCGATAGTTCTTTCCACTAAGTGGAAAAGAAAAGCAACTGTGGTAAAATTGCATGATGCACAGTATGTCACAGAAGCTCAGCAAAGTGTGAAAAAATGTCTAAGCAGATCTAAAATAAATGCAAAAATTTTATTAAAAAAAAAATCAAGAGTACAACTTGTAAATAACATCCAGTATAAATGCACATTCATGTACGTATATGTGTATTGTTTATAGCTATGTACACGTTTAGTTTTCATGAGAAATGCAATATTTAATGTCCAGTTTTGCTGTTCCTTTGCTATTTATTCTGAACCAAATTTCAAACCAAGGCTTCATTGCAAAGCTAAAACTCAAAACATCAAGTTTACAAATTACGGAAAAAAAAAATTCATTTTCATCTGAAATGATTCATGCAAATGTCACAAATTCAAAGTTTCAAAACTGCATCTTCCAGCAATTAAATAATTTCACAAGAGATTTCAAGTCTAATTATGTTTTTTAAAAAGATACAAAGAGAATCAAAAGAATTACAATACTAATGTTCTTTCTGCATGTTAATTTATAGAATCAGCTTTGCTGTCAATATTTTGCCATAAAGGCTTGTAATGTATTTTGTAACTCCCATAAAGTTTAAGGGAGATGATTGGTATTCACTCTTTTACAGATTCCTAGGAAAATTTTAAATTAATGATCTGGAAAACCAAAATGGACATTAGTAATACTTACTCAAAGAATTATAGGTACACGGAAAGTCTTCTCTATCCTGTGTCTTTGAAAATAAGAAAAACTAGAGCTCCCAAGAGTTTTTCTGGTTTACACCCTTGACGAAAATTATACTTTGCTCTTAATTTTTTACTATGCAAGATAAGCAAAACTATAGTTAACACAGACACTAAAGTTAACATTAAAATTAATTTTCTGTGTTTACTTAAATTCATTTGCACCTAGTAGAGAAAGAGGCACAGATGTAGGGAAGCGTGTCACAGGAAATCACAGCTACAGGCATATCTGTGCCTATATCCACATAATCCACTGATATTAATGCACACTTTGCTTGCTCAAGCTATTCTGTTCCACCTACTCACATATGTATAATTCCTATACTGCGAAGTACCTATGCATTATATACTTCAAAATATTTTAATATTTTCTTAGTCTATATTGACATTGTTTTATTCCCATTTTAATATCTCCACCCAGTGTCAACCAGCTTAAAGGAAGTGATATACCAGTATTCATTTCTTAAATGTTTGTGTAATAGTTTTTATTGCAGTGAACAATGGCACAGAGTAATCTGTTGTCTTTCAGGAATGATGTTTAAGATCAAGAGGAATGTTGAATTTTTTTACATTAGAAATGTAAACATGTTAAATTTCCTTTCTTATTTAACAGTAGAGCATGTCTTACTGAAGTCAAATATCTAAACGAAGCACTTATATCTCATAACTTCCACATAATTCTTACCTAATATTTCATTATTAAGGCATTTACATTTTCCTTCTGAAGTTAGGCCTTTAGGGCAAATAATACAATTCCACCCATCTTGAGTAACGCCGCTCTAAAATAAAATGTAAAACTATTATAATTTTCAAAAAAATAGACATTGGCCAATATCTGTGAAGAATGCCTGATCTGGATGTTACTAACTAGAAAATGTGTTGATACATCAATAACATTCATGAAGCTTTTCAAGATAAAAAAAGGTTAAACAATCTAGAAAAAGTAATTCCTATGCAGACGTAGACTAAAAAGAAGTGTTCTTAAGTTTTTCTGAACCCATTACTTAGCATCCTTTAGAGAAGATAAAAGTTGATTAAAAGTGGAAGGTTTAAAAAAAGGTATAGAAGTTCTACACTGGAAAGAAGTAACCAGTAAATGTAACAATGCATACTTATATTTGCATATAAATATACAGAAGTAATGGAAGTGGAGAAGTTTTAAGGGAAGCAGCTAATTTAACTGCATGAAATTTTGCACGTACCCTAACAGTTCACATTCACACTTATTTTACACTATGAAGTAGCTGTACTACATATCAAAACCAGTGAGGAAAATGAAGATCCTCACGTGATACTGATGTTATTCCCTTCTGCACTATTGTTTTATCTTTGCATAAGCCTTGCCATAGGATCAAAGACAAATGCCACCATTTGAGAAAGAGAAAAAAACAGCAGCATGATCAAAACACCAATGGATATTTGTCAATGTCTTTGTCTAATGCAGCAAGAAGATGAAAACAAGAGGGAAATAAACTACTTTACCCATTAGCCACTGAACACCTAACTTGTGAAACTAAGATGATCTCTTGAGAGTTCTTCTACAGTTACTGGAGAGAAAGTACTCAGGAAGGCTTTCACCTAAAAAGTTGTTTTTGCTGGAGAAAAATTACTTCTCTATTCTAGTGGGAAAAAGCTGGTTGAGCCTGGTGTCTCTGCCTCAATGCTGTCAATATGACCCAAAATTATAGCTTAATTTGTCAAGAAAGGTAGAAAGAATGACCAAACTACAAAGATATATATATAATTAAAGTAACATAATAGCAACAGCTCATATTGAAGTAAAAAGACGAAGTATCAGGGACTACGAAGATACGACCTAAATATTACAATTTTATATAATAATCAAGTAAATTACCTATGAGCTGAAAAACATCTTTGGCATTCTATAAAACAGTCATCTGTGAGCAAGGATAATATAACATGAAGCAGAAAAGAAAAGCAGCAGAAGGAAATGAAACATTTAAAATACTTTGTCTGTGGGGTCAAATTTATTATGAAAAGATGCCTACAAAATAGTAAAAAACATTTCTAAAGAGAAAAAAAATTACTTCCTATAAGCATGGTCTTAAAAATTCTCAAGCAAAGACTATTATGCAAAATTATTTTAAATTAATGAAACATAACTTGCAGTCAGGAGGAAATTTCAAATTTAAAAAGCATTATTTTTATGGCAACATATGGTAAGTTCAATACTTACCATATTTTCTGGGCATTTTTCACAAATCATGGAGGATCCACCATTACTAGAAACCATTCTGTATCCTGGCTGACATACACATGAACTACCTGGAAAAAAACCCAAATGCAATTTAATTTTTTTTTTTTTTACAGAATACGGGGAACAGCTGCTATTGTTCTCAAGAGATCAACATAGATTATTAGATGGACAAATAAAACACCTGAGTGAGAAGTGCATGAAAATCATCTTGCTTTTTAAAAAATGTTCAGGTGACAGTTTGCACAAAGACGTTTTAGGAAAACGTTATTAGGCTGACTGATACACCCTGGTGGAACAGGAACCAGAGCTTGTGTTTTTGTGGGTTTTTTTTAATCTAAACTGTTTCAGTTGGTCTAATAACAGATATAATCTCTCCCTCTAAATCTTGCCACAGTGAGTGCTATTCTTAGCCCATTCTCTCTACAACACCAGCATTATATATTTGTACACAGTTTTTATCTTCTGAAGAGGCAGTCAGTCCTAAAACCAAAATACGTTTATATGCAAAGGTTCTTCAAAATACAACTGTTGCTTATAAAGCTATTTTAAACCCAAAGCTTTTAAAATTGTGCATGGGGATCAAGTTTTATATTGAATGGTTTTCAGCCAATAACAGAATGTACTTAACATTTAGTATGAAATTAAAGTAACCACTACTTTCATGGCACATCATAGTGCACACCTGCTAGTGCTCAATAATTTCTTCAGAAACTTTTTCAGACTCACTATCATGGATGGACCTCTCTGTATTTTTAAAGACATACTACAAACCAAAACTAATTCTATGTGCCAATGAACTGTATTTATTATTAAAGCTTTTTGAACTGTGCATGTAAAAACCATGTAAAATTATGTGAAGAGTTTTATAACCTTAAAGTACATCCTCATGAGACCAGTTTTACAGGAATATGATTTGTCAAAATGATCAACCATTCATACTTAATTGTAAAGAAGAAAAAGCCTGATAGGATTAGATCAATGAAGAGACTTGAGTTGTGACATTCACTGTGTCAGTATCTAAATTTTGAGGCATGTTGCTTCAAAGCAGAATCCACAGTGATGAGCCAGCCATGGAGTGCATGAGTTGACTTGTGCAATCCCAAGTGGAATTCAGACGAGATGCAAACAGCTGACTGAATGACAGCTACCTACACTGCTCCAGTCAGATGGTGCAGAAAAAAATAAATCCTTGACTTACCCCTGGAATTTATGTCTCATTGAAGCCCTTGAGTTAGAAAATTCAAGCCTAAAAGGGAGTTATGGATTTAAACACCCACATTCTCAGGAGGTCTGAAAACTATTAAAGTGCATTTTTTCTTCAAGTAAACTGTGGTGTTACTCTTTTATACCATGATGGTGGTGGAACCAGATTTTACACAGCAGTTGTGAACAGAGACATCCAGATCACGGCACTTGACTGAGGTACCAGTCCTGAAGAGATGCTGTTGGGTCTCAGTCTTGAATTTGTTTCTCTACGCTAAGCACTCAACTCCAACTTCTCTAGGACTGTGTATTTATAGAAGATGGTCACTATCACACCATCTTAACTCCTAAAGAAAGCGAACTACCATCTGCATTTTTCATTTAGGACTGTCAAGGTATGTGGTGTATGCTCCAAATTCCCACATGGGACTTGGATTAGTGTGCGCACTGCCTTAACATCTAAGGCATTCAAGATCTGACCAGTAGTTTCAAGTTACGGAAGTGTTCAAGAACATAAATTCAGGGCCATATGGAATTTTACTAATGAAAAAGTGAATATCTATAACCATACAAATGCCTGAGGAAAGAAGGATCATTAAAAAAAAGTCCTACAGACGTTTCTCCGGGATGTTTATCAAACACGGGTATTGAAGTTGTGCTGTGGCCACTTATGTCTTTGCGGGATCCTGCCCCTTTTCGCTGCCTTTTCAGACTTGCCCCTAAGGACTGCCGTTTTACCGCCAAAACCCGAGCCCAGGTTTTGCATCTCCCACGGCCGGCGGCGGATTTCTGCGCGGAGCTGCCTGAGCTCCGCCGCCCCCCGCCCCCAGCACG